TAATTAGAAACTTTCTGCTTCTCTATGCTGTGGCAGTTTATACTGCTCATACTATGACTAGAGCTGGAGTTGCTTAGCCAGTAGAAATCTGTCTCCCTCCTCTTAAAATACCTTAAATTCAAATTTTGTTCATGCAGACTTATTGCTGAAAAAGAAGTAGAAGAGGCTAAAAGGCAAGAAGAAGCTGCAGCAGAAAGGGCACTTGCCTTGCAGAGTGCAGCATTAGAGGGGAGTGTCAAGCCTGGAGAGGAGCCTTGTGAAATAAAGACACTGGAGATGTCTCTAGCTGAAGAAAGAGGCCCCCAAGAGAGAACCCTCACCAAAGAAGAGGCCCAGAAGGCAGAGCCCGCAGGTACCAAGGCACCTGCAGACAAAAAGAAAAATAAATAAATCCTCTGCTGGCAACTGCTGAAGCTTCAAGCAAGTACTCTTCAAATAAGAAAAAAACCCCAAACCAAAACAACCCCAGAAGACCCACGCTTGTAGGAAGCTGTAAGAATGGTTTGACTGTATGCACAAGAATTGCTGGTTTCAGAGGAAACAGTCTTTTACACCAGGGTTTTGGATAAAGTAGCAGGAAGTTACATGATGCAAGTGAACACAGGTGCTCTTAAAGTGTAACAATTATTAGTTTTATTTTTCAGCAAAATATTCACATAACATATCAGAATGGAATGGTACAGATGAATTCAGACTGGTTTTTAATTAGTTTGCACATAAACATTTTTAAAATTTAAAAATTTTATGGTCAGAGTTTACAGATTTTAGTAGAAATTTTGATTCTTACAAAGCAAGTATTGCTTTACTATTGTCATTATTCCAGTCAATAATATGACTAATAACTTCTCATGTTGAACAAGTGCCTGACATTGACATCTTCAATAAATCAGCCCTTTGCAGATCAATCCAAGAAGAAAATATTATTAAACTGTGTTGCACAAAGTTTCTTCACTTCTTCTGTTAAAAAAAAACAAACAAAAACAACAACAACAAAAATCAGTACTGTATTTTACAGAAACCTCCTCAAGAAAAGCCCTGGTGATTCTCATGGAGAATACAATTAAATTGGAACAGAAAAAGCCCTAAGAGTTTCTAATGTAGAAATACACTTAATATTACTGTGTCTTCAGTAGGAGAATGTCAAGTCTGATGTCTCCCACTGTCTGAAAGGTGAGTTGTGTCTAAGTGGCTTAATAAATGATGGATCTCTCATCAGACACTGCAGCAGCAGCAGACTTGGCTTAACATATAGTTCAGGGAAGTATATTATAAGCCCTTTCTCAGAAAAAGGAGGAAGTAGGGTATCATGTTACAGTAAATCAAGCCTGCAAAACTTTTGCTTTGTGTTATTTGGTAGACTACACTTCCTAAGTTTATCAGGCACATAAACACTTATTTACTGTTTCTGTATGGTAGGTTTGATGCTGAAAGACAACTACAGAAAAATTGCAAAGTTACACAGCTCATTCCCCTTTTTAAAATGTAGGTTGCAAGGCTTTTGTCTTGGCTAAGCATTAATTCTTTCCTACTGTTTAAGTGAGCACATTGCCTCCTGTTAAAACAGAGAGCCCTAGTATTGCTGCAAGATTCAAACAGGTTTTTAGAGAAATAGCAATGTTAAAGTTTATTGCAGCTTAATGTTAATTCTCACTCTTAGTCACAGTAAATCATTGTCAAAACCATGTTAGAAGCAAGACAGTGATGGATGAGGATCACTGACAGGACAGCCACAATGTATAAGTAAGTAACCCTGGATCACTGACAGACATTCAGATATAAATATACTCCTCTCTCATCTGTAACACACAGCTCACAGTGCTGTCCTTTATTATTTGAAGGAGGAAGAATGACTGATTATTAATTAAGAATGCCTGCTGAATAATTATGCTGTCCTTTCACAGCTGGTAGTAGGCAGACTAAAACCTTAGGCAAACTCACCTGCTCTACCAAAGATCAGTCCCTCTCCAGCTTTCTCATGAGCTGGGCTTTATTACTTCTCTAGGGACACACATTATAGGAGTAACTGTATGTAAAAGTAGTAAGAAACAATCCTTACCATTAACTTCAATCAGATTTACATTTTTTTGGTTCAAAATAACATATAGTTCGCGCTGGTCAGACTTCTTCCCAACTACCCAGTAATCACTCATTGCCTTCACAATAATTTCCTCGTCTTCATCAACTCTGAAGTTTTAAAAAAGTAAAGAAGGTGGCAGCAAGTTAATCTTCAACAAATTTATCTGTGATCATTAGGACAGCTTGAGGAAATTGTGGTTGTGCAGTATCAAAGAAAACACCAGTTCTAACCTGGCCATCATTCAGTCCAGGTTGAAGGCTTCATAAATGGCTGCTTAGGACATGCCCAAATATGTCAATCAGTAATTTTTTTCATTAGCTAAACACTGCAGTGCTCTGAAGAAAACACCTCTGCTCCATTCTGGTAAGGACACACTTCCCAGAATGAAGATTTGCTACAGAGTGACCAAATACTGAAAGCTGGAGATGGGTTGGTGATCCTAAGCTTTCACAGAACTGTGAAACCTAGACCTAAACTATGCTCAACCACTGGATATATTCTATAAAGCTGTCACTAACCCAGTACTTCCATAATACAATGAAACACACTTTTTTAATTTATGTAAAAATGGAAACCTTGTCCTTAAGCAGAGTGGGAAAAGAGTTTGTTGCTAATTAGTGTTAGGGACATCCCAATCATTCAGCATTGTTGTGTTCTTTCTTAACTTTTGTAGTGACAGAGGGTCTCCCACCTTGCAGCATGATACCCATTGACAAGAAACCACTTCTCTATCAGCAGGACTGGAGTAACTGCAAGGTTTGCATTTCATCCATTGTCTCACCCCTAGAATCCACCAGCTGTGTCAGGGCATGTATGACACAGGCAGAAGCAGGTGTCCTTGTCCTTTACTTTCCCAGATTAGACAGACTCTTGTGCTTCCCATTCCATTTGCTTTGACTACTCTGAAGCCTCCAATAGATGGGATATTTTCTTTGACAGAGGCCCTAGCCCTCTCTTAATTTTTTCTTTAAGAGGACCCTAGATTTTTTTTTTTGTTAATATGATATCTACTTCTAGACCAAAACAAAATACCAAATATGAACAGCAATCAACAAAAAGACTGGAAAGTGCCACTCCTTTGGAAAAAAAAAAAAAAAGTCTGCTTGACTAACAGGGGTTACAGACTATTTAATAGTTAAGCATTACCTGGAGAAGTCACTGTTGATGTCACCAAGAATTTTCATGAGGTCAGGGTGAACAGATGCAAGTGATATGCTGGGTGTTTTCCTCATGTGAATGGTACTTTTCTCTGCCAGGTTCATATGATTGAAATAGATAAACTTAAATTGAGGTTCCTTCTCAGCCCTAGGAAGATTTAAAAAGAAAAAAGTGATTTGTGACTACCAACATGGTCTATAAGCACGGGCTCCCCAGAGACTGGGTAGTGAGCTGTGCAAAGCTAACTTAGACAGCCTGGACTTATCTTCACATTGAAGAGACTTGTGGGATTGAAATTCATTTTAACCCACTTTAAAAAACACAAAAGAACAACTCAGCCTGCAGAACCAGCCAGTGCTTCCCCTTCTGCCATTCAGCCTGCCAGTAAACACACACGGGGGAGTCTGAAGGCCTTGTCCCACTTCACTGTAGTAATCCATTTGCATTTTTCTAATGAGGTGGTTTTTTCTCGCCCCATTTTGTTCCTGTTGCTCTCCCTGATGCCAGTCCTAGCTGATTTGAATGGATCCTGGGTCTTTAATTTGAGCAATAAGTCATCTTCTATTCATGTCTTTGTTATTTGTTCCAAACAAGAGAACAAACTCTTCCTTGATCCAGGCAATTACATTTCTCCCCATAATTTGTGTGGGCCAAGCAAGAGACTATTTTCAAACTCCTGTCTTGGCAGTCTTCCTCCATTTCCTCTTTTATGAAATTAATATAAAAATCTAGAGCTGTAAATTTTTTGTAGAAGTCAACAAACTCAGACTGACCAAAAATTAGCTGCAGCAATTGGTACTTGAGGCAATGCATTATTTAAAACCACAGAAGATACTGTGATGACACCGCTCACCTTAGCAAACAACCAGATATCCTTGCTCTCTGTCACCCACATGCATTAGTGTCAAGGAACTGTATCATGTTTTCAGGACACCATGACATTAAACTTTTAAAGAGTTAAAGCTGCCAAAGCCAGTCCCAGATGACATTTAAAAACCCCAAGTTTAATGATTTAGTAGATTGGCACAATTTCAAGCACATCCTATTCTATCCTCAGCGATTTTGCTGATTTGGGATGGTACCACTGACTGATTTCACTCACACACCTATCTTTAGTTAAATTCCTTTTATGTTGCCTTACGGGATACTGTTCTTGCTTCCCCAACTAATAAATCTATCAAAAACTAAATGCAATTTCATTGCAAGTCAACTGTAGTTCTAAGCAAAGTGTATCCTCCAAAGCATTAGCATCCTTTTTTCTTTTGACTGTTTTTTGCCCCTCAAGTAATTACTTTAGTCCTGCAAAATAGAAAAATAAAAGACATTTTCTTCCTCACCTACTACACATGGCAACATTTCAAGAAGCAGTAATCCTGGAAAAGTTCTCAACTGTATAGCTTCCACTGTAACCAAATAACTTACTAAAATTCTCATTTCAGCCAGACAATAAACATTTGTTCCTAAATTAGTAACATCTATTGTTACTTCAGGGAGACCCAAATATGCAATAACAAGCACTTTATAAACACTTAAGATGCAGAAAAGTAGACAAACGTTGTTTTAAGTACACCATTAATGCTTTCAAAATTTGAGCTCATGTTACCATTATTTAAGCAGTTCACTTAGCCTAACTTTTCACCAGCTAATGAGGGAATGCAGCAGGAAAAGAAGTGTGGTACAAACCCTGATATTCTCTTGTTGATGTTGTATTGTTCACATATGTCTGATGCCAACACCGTGAGCTGAGGCCCAACAATGCTGTCCAGTTTTCTGCAAAATTCCAGTGTGGGTGGAATTGAAGCTGTGTCAGGCAGAGGAAAGGGAGAGGTGAGATTCTCTTCCCACAACTGAAGGTACAGTTTCTGTAGTGTTCTTTAAACATCACCAAGAGTCCAAGAACAAATTTCTCCCATAATTAAAACTTCAGGGGTGATTTTGAATGTGGCTAATTAAAGAAGTATTTAGGCATTTTATTGTGTAAAATGAGTTACTTGTACCACTGGAACAAAGATAAAAGACTGATAAAAACACTCATGAAAAACGTGACTCAAAGAACAAATTAATGTATTTTTCAAGAGTAAAATAAGCTGCATGTCTAAGTGTTTTATGTCTAAAAGTCTTGGCAAATAACTGATGCTAAGAGGTACTTACCATCAATCATAAAGCAGACAGCTGCACTCATGGCCTGGAACAAAAAAAAAGCAAAAAAACCCATTTACAACAGATTACTTTAACTAACTCAAATAAATGACAATACTTCAGTGAGGTCACACACAGGTGAGAAGAGATTTAAAAATCTTTATTAAAGGTAACACTTCAATAGGATAATCTTTTTGCAGTCCTGCACAACACAGGTTAGCTATGATTTTAAAATTCAGCCCAGTTAACAGTTTAAGTTGTAGGGGAAAGATAAAACTGAGTGAAAATGCACTTTATACAAAGATATTTGCAAGAAACTCCCATTTAATGTTAAGAACAAAATATTTTTTTATTGATTAATCCCATAATAAAGCCAGGCATGAAATAATTTAAAGCAACTGAAGGCTGGTATTTTGTTTTAATAAAACAATTCTTTATTTTGGACAAAGTGCAGGGAGGGGAAAAGAGAATTCAGGCTTTAAAGCTTGTTGCTAGAAATGCCAGTTTTCTGTCTCTTTGCTTTAATCTGGCCTTACTCATGCATCTTTCTATACAATTCCTAAGTACTTCACATCATTGTCACCTTCATTGCATAGAGATTCCTAATTCTGTGGAGTAATTGCAGAGGAAACTGTAATACCTTGTAAACAATCAAATGGAGCTCTTCGTAAGTGTCATCAGTGTTAACAAATATTTTGGGGAAACGGCATTTTGTTTCTGGATCATTAAGATTTAAAGGTCCAGTAAGAAACCTAGAAAATAATTCAACAGGTCAGATGTGATGAATTCTTGTATTTCAGTTTCTTGAATTTAACAGATGTTCTCCAAACTTGCAATTAAGACTTCTCATGATTAAGGATGTCCAAACCCACAATCATGCATAGTAATGTTGCCCACTTAAGTACAGAATTCCTCACTGAAATACTGAGTCCAGAGGAAGAACAAATAGATAAATCCTAGATTAAATCTACACCTTTGTCTGGAGTGCTTGACTGAAAAGAAATGACTGGAACAATTCCCAAATTTGTCATACAATGCACTGAGAACAATGGGAAGAAAAATAAATATGCAGTAGTGTTAATGAAGCATTTTCTCTTTTTTTCAAGGGTCAAGTTTTACATTGCACCAACTAGTGTGTGACCCTCTGGAATGAGCTGTGTGTGGAATATGTACTCAAAATACACACATTCCTCACAAATGTTTTGCCCTTGGGGGAAGAAGCAGTAGATGATGACAATAAAACAAGATCTACCTTCCATAGTGTTGGAGATTTCCTGGCATTTCAGCACGTATTGGAGAATCTCTTCCTGCTAACTGAGGGGAAAAAGAACATACAGGAAAAAACAGCTTAGAGACAGAGAGAAGAGAGATTTCTCTTTCGTATTTTAGCCTTTAGTACCAGATAAACAGGAAGAAAAAAACAAAACTACCCAAACACCTTCCCCCTCAAAACCCCCAGCCCAACTACCTCAGGCTCCATGTGCCTTGGAAACAGAGATGTTGTGAGATATTTGTACAAAATTCTCATGTCATCTTGCTCCAGTCCACTCCTAGAACATTTTGGGGGAGAAGAAACAAATTATGTTTGTACTGCAGCTCAGATCACAATTTTCCTCTAACTAGCTCAGATCAATGCCTTTCTTACTGTATGATAGCCTGATTCACATTTTCTCATTTTCATTCAACTCTGCCACTAATTTAAAAGCTTCTTATTATGACACTTACTCATAGGATTAGAAATTGAAGACACACAAAAGAATTACTGAAGTACCTACCAGATAAGCTGGTCATTGTAGAGAAATGCAGTGTACTTGACTATGTTCAGGCTTTCTTCCATCCTATTAATAAATGACTGAATTTTCAAATAAGTCATTTTATCCAGTGGAAAGAAGCTGATTCCACAAAACACATCCAGCAGATCACAAGACTGTAAGTGCAGTGTCTGCAAGTACTGAGAGAACGACAGTTGGCTATTAGAAAACTGCCAAGGTGTAGATTTAAATTATTTAAATTTCAGTCTAATCCCCAAAAATCTGGACTAAAAATCAAAGAAAAAATGCTCTTCCAGCTGCTTGTCTGACACACTCCGTCATGTGAAGACACTTTTTACAAAGGTTTGTAGTGATAGGACAAGGGTTTCAGACTGAAGGAGGCTCAATTTAGGTTAGATATGACAAAGTTTTTTACAATGAGCCTGCCATTGTGTGTGAACACTGGCACAGCTTTCCCAGAGAGGTGGTGAATGCCCCATCCCTGGAAACATTCATGGCCAGGCTGGACAAAGTTCTGAGTAATCTGGTCTAGTTGAAGATGTCTCTGCTCATAGCAGGAGGTTGGCCTAGATGATCTTTAAGGGTACCCTCCAACCCAAACCATTCTGTGATTCCACATGTGAGTGCCTGAATATGATTCCAGGTGTCACTTTGCTTTTATTTAATCAGTATGAAAACAGCTTTTAAGGAAAGTTCCAGATCTTTTGAGAGTATAAGCAAGCAAAGCCTATCTTACTGATGTTTAATTTCAGATTCAGCTGTAGAAATAGGAACAGATGCTTTAATTGTGTCATGGAATAAACAATTTCCATTATTCACTTTCTTCATAGACTATGACCTTTAGCAAGAGATTTCAAATGCACTGTCAAGTTGTCTGTGGAAGATGCTTTATCCAATGGCTCCCTCTACAGGGGAGCCTCTCCCTCACTTTGCATTACTGAATGCCCACAAGTAATACAGACCAACAGGGTGACAGATCTGTCACAGCTTGTATGTCTCTCTGTTTTAGCAGTAAGAATTTATTACTTCTTTTTATTGTAAAGGTCTATTTTTAATTTAGTCTGGACAGTGCATACATGAGCTCATCATGGTATTCCTTGTGCCAATGGTGTTTATTCTGGAGTCTACCACAAGTCTTACAAGAAACAAGCAAGACCCTCCCCAAATCCATAAGCAAAGCCTGTACTTTTGTTTACACTGTCACAACATTGTGCCGTTCTAAAAATCTTTTAAAAGAACAAAACTTTAAACACCATTACACAGTGTCTACACTCCATCATTATCGGAGATCTCAATACCACAAAAGCACAAACTGCTGACAGCAGTCCTGTTTCCTTGCTTGCAAACAAGAAAAATAGGGGCGGGCAGGCGCTTTTTAAGTGTGATGAAATTTTTCATGTAGGAACTCGAAATTCTGCCTGAATTCTGAAATAGTTGAGACTACTCAGTTAGTTACTTTATGTGAAAAACAGATTCTGCTTTTCATCCTTTCACTAAAACATCAGCTGTGAAATGACATTCTGAAGACTATTTAAAATGCATGCAGTATTTCCTGGAGCCTTCTCAGGATAGGCTACTAATTCCACATGGAGGGTGGAGTAGGGGGGAGAAGTTGAAAAATTAATCAATTCACTATTTCACAGTACTACAGGACTTTAAGCCTGTGCATGCAGGTTGTAGATCTCCACCCCTGGATATTTTCAAATCTCAACCACCCAAAGTACTGGGCAGGAGAGTTTAAATTCAGTGCTACCCTGCTTTGAGTAGGAGGCTGAACTGGATGACCTCCCCAAATTCCTTCTAACCTCAATGAATCTTCAACAGTCACTCAAATTGGTCTGTACAAACTGTTATGACAGTAACTAATTCAAACATGAAAGCAGAACTCTGAAAGAAGGAACACAATTCCATCAGAAAAAATAACCAGCAGTTAAGTTGTTCCATCAAGCCATAACCACACTTGTGGTTCAGCTCCACTCTGTCAGAAAAAGCAGGAAGTATTTGACAAAATGAGTAACCACATACTTTTTGTTGACTTTACATCTTTTCCACTGCCTGTGTTTTATAGTCACATTGCTACTACTTCCTTTTTTTTTTTTTTAATTTTATTTCCAGCACAGAATCACACTGTGTCTGAAAAATAAGGTCTTACCCGATGGAAGAATTTCTCTAGTCTCTCCTTTAGCACTTTCACACCCCCATCTTCCATGGCTTTCAGGAACGTGCCATTGAAAAGCTAACAGTTTAAAGAGGAAAAAAATCAGTTAGTTGGGTAATCATTCACAGTAATTTCTTGTAACTTGGCTATGGATTACAGCACAGCTCCCATTCCTCAAAATACTCCACAACAATCCAAATGTATCCCTTCTTTATTGAAAAAACATTTAGATTTGCAGAGTCCAGGTGTATATGGCAGCAGAGGCAAGTATTTATGTGTCATTGAAGTATCTCATGCTCTTGTTTTATAAAAGGACTTGAGCCTCCAATGTTAACCCTACCTTGTACATGCTGTAGCACTGCTGGAGGACTGAACTATAAACCTTGTCCTGCAGGAAAGAGAGCAACCCATCAGTAGGAGCAGAAGCAGAACTGTAAGTATTTTGGTTGAGCTACACATAACAGGTGTTTTCAAAGAGCCAGCAAAGACACAAATCAATCTCTGAAAACTTAAGTGGCATTTTCAGTCAGCATCTAGAAATGTCTCTGTACTTATAAAGCATGATTTCAATAAAGGTAGTCCCTTCCCCCCTCACATTTAGTACCAAAAGCACCTTAAGAACTCAAGCCAAGGATTCCAGTTACAAACAGTGCCCATTCCCTGAGGCCAGTGGTCAGTGAAAATGAACCTCTTTCTGACAGCTCTCTCTTCATCCAAATCAAAGGCTGAAGAATGTGGGACATACAAACACCATAGCAGGTTTTATGGGGCTGAGATCTTAACCCAGATCAAAAAAAGACTATTTTATCAGCCAAAATAGAGTTCTTACGACTCCAATTCTTTTCTTAGGACACAGAGAGGAACAAAAGTGATGCACACAGTAATGAACAGGGGCAGGATAACCAACCAGCTTTTTAATTACTGTCCCACCCTGCTGAATACCCTTTCTGTATACAATTGAACAGATCTAATGACACTGTGTTTATTGAATGATCTTGAACTGCTCTCTGATTAATTCTGTATCTTGTGCCCTTCTTTAAACTTTACTGAAAAGTATTTTGCCCTTTTTCCATTTATGGAGATAGGTATAGATATATATAAAATCAATTTGACAGCAGTTCAAGAAAAATTAAATTTAGGTATTTCTGGAAGAACCCTTAAAAATACAACAAAACTCATTTAAAAAAAAGGAAAGTTCATTATTACCAGCAATTCTTCTTCCTGATATTCATAGACTGGCTTTCCATCTTTGTGTTTTTCTATTATAGGATTCCGTACAACCTAGGAAGTGGAACAGGCTGGTATTAGACAATGCAGAATGCATTGAGAACATTGCAGGATGGTGTTTTAGGAATATGCATATCACATGCATAAGTACCATGACCATCCAGAAGTTTTCTTCAGGTTCATGGAAAAACTGTCTATTCTTCTGTGTATGCAGGGATTTTGCAGGTTTTGTTGGGCTAAAAGTCCTGGAAAGAAAACATACATGTAGATATAGGTATTTATGCACACTCACAACAAGACATATAACTGAGATATTTTAAATACAGTGCTTGTGCCAAAACAATTAGCCATGCAATCAGAATTCCTACCTTGTGAACTGCACTATAGCTTCACACAGCCCCACATTTCTTATTTTCTCATTCTTTTCTACTTCATTTGGGTGATAGAAGAGAATCTTCTTTTCTTCCTAAAATTAAAAAAAATAATCCAAGCAAATGTATTTTAGCAAAATCAAAGAATATTGAGTTCATGGTTTGCTTGTTTTTTAATCCCTTAATAACCTAGGCAGAATTTTATTTTGTACCAAAATGGGCTTCTCTAAAAATGGATAAAAGGCATATTAAGCACACTTAAGCAGTCAATCATCCCATGATTGTCAAAATACTTTGTAAATTGAAGGCTATTGAAATCACAGGTCCCAGTCACTTTTCAGCCTGTTCAAAGCAAGGCCAGCTTCAAAGCCAGCTCAAAGCATGGCAATCTTCAAAGGCAGCTGAGATTGCTCCAGGCCTTCTCCAGTCATATGTTCAATACCTCCAGAGATGGGAACCCCACAACTTTCCAGCCCTGCTCTGATGTTAGATCACTTCACTGTGAAGAATATTTTTTTTCTATCTCATCAGATTTTCCCTTCATCCATCCTCATTCTTTCACTTCAAGAACCTAACTCCATAATCTACCATCCTTCAGGCAGGTGAGACTGCCCTCTGCCCCCTTTCCATATTGTCTCCCCTCCAGGCTGCACAAATGCAGTTATCAAAGTCTCCTCTGGTATGCCACAGACTGTATCCCCCTGACTGACTCAGGGCTTCTCCACTAGGCTATTTTAGTTTGCCAGTATTTTTCATACTCTGGGAATCTCTGGAAGAACACAGCACCCAGCAGCAACCTCACATGTGCTGGACAGAGGGGAAGATTGGCTCGGCTGGATCTGCTGAGCCACCCTCCCTCCCACAGCCACAAGCGCTCGCTGCTGATTCACGTAGAACCTGTTGTTCACCGACTCCCTGGTCCTGTTTTGCAGAGCTGCTCCCAACCAGTGCCACGGTGAGCCAGATTATTCCACCCTACACACGGGGCTTTGCTGAACTCCACAAGGCTTCTGCCGGCCCAGTCCCCAGCTCGCTGAGGGTCCCTCTGAACAGCACCTCATCCTCCAGCAGAACAACAGCTTCTCCCGGGCTGGAGTCACCCAGGAGCGTGCTGAGGGCACTCAGCCTCCTCATCCTGTCACTGCTAAGTATGTAAGTACACTGCTCTGTTCAAAAACTATTAAAGCTCAGCATGAACCCCACAACACGCTGTTACCTACAGCCAGTTAGTTACTAGAGCTTCTTGACTTTCCTTACTAAGGGACATAGCGGCGAATAAACACTAGCAGTAACTTGACTGTAACTAAGCTAAACAGTAACCTTTCTACCGCATTGTATCGACGTCGAGAAAGTTATTTTTAGACAAAGTTAAAACATCAGTAAAACAGTTGCTGACTGTTCAGCTTCCCATCTACAACATGGGCCCTGCTGCTGACAACACCTCCGGTTACTGTTTCTTTTCGATCTGAAGCAGTGACAGACTCCATTGGGGGCAGCAGTCATCCCCGGCCCTGCGGGTACCCAAAGCCCGGTAGGGATGCGGCGGCCGCGGGCCGGGAGAGCCGCAGCTGCGACCGCCTTTGTCCGAGGCCGCTCCGCAGGGACAGAGCCGAGGCCGCACACGCTTGCGCCCGGCCTCGGGCACGGAGGGACCACCGCACCTTCCCCGCATCCCCGGGCGCGACATCCCCCCGGTACCTCTCCCTCTTTGGGCCCCAGCTTGGGGTTGTAGATGAAGAAGCTGAGGAGGGTCGGAGCGAGCTGTTTCTCCTGGCCGGCCGCCCCCCCCGCCGCCATCCTGAGCCTGGGGCCGGCAGCCGCCAGACACCATCGGGGATCGGCCCGAAGCCGCCGCGGCACCGGCCCCACCGCACTTCCAGCAGCCCCGGCCCGGCCGCGGTTCCGCCTCCGCGCCCCGGAAGCGCTCCCGGCCCGGGCGTCCCGCAGCGCCCCCAACGGCGGCCGCGGGAAACAGCGGACGGGGGAGCCTGTGCCCGGCGTTCCCTCAGCGAGAGGCCGTGCCCGGCGTTCCCTCAGCCAGGGGCCGTGCCCGGCGTTCCCTCAGACAAGGGCCGTGCCCGGCGTTCCCTCAACCGGAGCCTGTGGCCGGTCAGGACGGCGATTCCTGCTGGCGTTCCTCGCCGCCCCGGCCGGCAGCCGCTCGCAGGCGGAGAGCTCCGGCCGGTGGGCCCCGGGGTTCCGCGGTGCCCCGGCCATTGCACCCCTGTTCGAAGCGCAAAACCACGAGCGGTTCACTCCCCACTGGCTCTTTCGGACCTTCAAAAAGTAAAAACGCTTTATTTCTAGAGGTAGAACCCGAGATTTGAAAGATGAAATCAAGTTTGAGTAAATTGAAGGAATTGGCATGCAGCATCACTTAGTGCAGGTAATCCTTTTGCCAAAATAGATACATGTTTATTTGATTATTTTTCCATTTTCTACCTGGCACATTTAAAATAGTGGCATTTAACTAATAAAATAAGCTTTTCTATTCCTGTCCAATTGCTGTTATAATAAAATTCAGTGTGATCTAAACTAGAAGAAGTAAAAACGGCTTCATGGTGAGATGTATAATTTTCTTCTTCATAGGAGTGTGAAATTTAGGAATCTGAATAAAGTTACATAATTGCTTAAAGAAACTCCTGGGTAAGGTATAAAATATATAGTTTAATATCTTATTCCACAAACTCATTTAGAAGAATGTACTGGTAAACTTTCTTAAAGTTGTGCCAAATTAAACTCAGAAAAAACACAGTATTTCTTAAGTTTTTCAATTTCTTTTCCCCCCTTTCATTATTATTTCAGTTCCTGTCATCACTTTTACTTCCATGCCAGTAGCATCATTTATGTAGTCCTCCTCACCCTCAGCAGCTGGTGTATTCCTTGAGAATCCAACCCAGTGCAGTAGGAGCACTGTGTGGCATAGAGATGCTCTAAGACTGCAGCAATTTAATATTTAATGTGTGCACTCAAAAAGTGAGAGGTGTAAGCCAGAGAGGGATGACCGCTGTTTCCCCCTGGGCTGCTGAAGTCAGCTCCATCCCATCCCTCCTGTCTTGTGCCATGGCTCAGCTTGGAGTTTGGATATGTGAGTTCATGTGGATGTGTGCAGGCTCCTTTCCATGGGTGCAGAGATCACCACCACCTTGGGTGTCACCTTTCCTGCCTGCACGGGTGGCATTTAACCCAAACCACTCAAGAATGAGCAGCTCCTCCTGTGTGTCCTGGACAGGCAGGAGTGACATGACAGCTTGAGCCACACCACAGACTGAGCGTTTCCAGGGAGTCCAGCCAGGTCTGAACAGCTGTAGGAAATGTTTACAAAGCTGCAGAGAGAATCTGCATTATCATTTTGAGGTATTTTCAGAGAGGTCACAGAAGAAGGTGACTCCTTCCCCTTGCCAGCAAGGCAGGATGCAGGAGGGCCCTGATGTTCTGCACTCCCCAGCATTTCCCTGAGCAGGGTCTGAGGAAGGATCAGGCCAAATGTGTCAGGATGAGATATCCACATACAGTAATTCTCATTTTCTACCCTACAGCTCTGAGTTAAAAATCAGCAATATGTGTAGAATGGCCCTTTCATTGTGGTCTGTTTTTTTGAAGAGTGCAGCACACTTGAGACAGTTTCTGGGAATATCCAGTTGGAATTGAATGTATCAAACAAAAGGAACCAAATTTCCCTCCTTGCTTGTGCTCCACTGCAGGCAGAGGCCAGGTGGCGATCGGGCCAGAGGTGAAGTTAATTTGCTTATACTACTCACTTAAAGCAAAACAAGGAAATTCTTAAAATTGGTAGTATTGACAGTAAAGTTACATTATTGCTTACCAAAGAAATGAAAAACCAGCAGTGACTGTAGATTTTTGCTTGTGTTTGTTGAGATGTTTAGATGTGTTTGTTCAGGACTTCACAAGATGGAGATCCTGGGCTGTGACTGGGGTAATATTAACTACTGCAATACAAACACTGGTGGAAGGGATATATTCTGGAGGTACACAGAGTTGGACACTGGGTATTCACTGTAAAGGGGGATTGCTGAGGAAGGCGTTTCCATGTCCAGCTTTCCTTAGGAAGGGAATTAATGTATGTGTAGTGATTGCTAACATATAATTCTGCTCAGTGCAACCTCATCTGTAACTTGACATTGCTTTTGGTAGAAGTATTTGTGAGAATCTACAATGAGCAAGTGATAACAGATTCAATTAAATTATTACATTTCTAATGTACACATTAACAGGGCATGAAGAAACTTCGATTGTGGTTCCAATTTCATCCCATCTTCTTAATTGTATGTGCAGTAACACCACACCTTGACATTTGCAAAGTGGCATCAGATCACCCCGAGTTTGAAATGTGATTCCCAGCCCATGATTATGTAAAATTAAACTGCTGAATAAGTACATTGAGAATTTGCAGGATAACCCCTGCATCAAGGGGCAAACAATTAACAACTCTAAGAGTGCTTTCCAATTTGTTTTTAAAAATACATAGAAGTAAGAAATAGTATTGTGTAGACATATGTTTTGGTTTGTTGAGCCTATTTCTGGATACTATTTTGAGCACTTCCATCAGCTGTGTAGTAGCAGACTTCACAAAAAGGTGTGCTATATATCACTCTGAGTGTTAGAGCTGACAGCTTTAAATAAATACAGCTGACAGCTCAAATAGCTGTTCCATTGACAGTATGTGGTCTAAATGTGTTAACAAATGCATAGACTCAGCAGTTTGGGATTAGTTTAGCAAATAAATTACAAAATAATGCAGTGATCCAGCAAAAAGCACAATGCCTGTGTATCCCTGGTCTGCACGCTTTGTTAACACTGCAACAGGCCTGTGGAGCTGTGTGGGAAAACACAACAGTGCAGCTGGAGCTGGGCTCCGGCTGAGACAGCCTTCACATCCCACAGACTTGTCAGTGTGATATCAGGGAATGTGAGCAGCACTGGGGGTGTCATGGTGAGTAATGGTTTAATAATGGATGCATTTGCTTTGAAGGACCAGAGATTTCATAAAGGAAGGCAGTAACTTCACACTAGCTTGGGTTATGATTAAGAATACAAGGTTACCAAGTAGCAATTGTAAAACTGCTTTCATGCAAAACTTGAGATATTGAAATGTTTTTGTTTGTTTAATGTTAGTAGCTTGCATCTGAAGAAAAGCTGGAAAGAGAAGATGAGGAAGGGGCTAGGAAGTGGAAAGAATTTCAGCTCTGAAGATGGATAATATTAATATGTTAATTATTTCTATTCTGAGCACTGCAAAATAAGAGAATTAAGAATGATGTCACAGTTTGACACATTTAAGGCATGGCATTTTTCTGCTTAGAGGTTGAATAAAGCTACTGGGCATTTTTTATATCTTAGCTGTTAACAGGGTAGACTGGCAGAAGATATTAAGTGGTACATAATGTGAATATGGAATAGCACTCTTGAGACCTGCATTTTAAGGGAAACAAAAGTATTCTGGTGTTTTCTAAAAATGTGTTTTTATAGTAGTTTTATCTAGTGAATAATTGTATGCAATGTACAACTGTCAATTCTGATAACCAGCCGCAACTTCTATTGCAATCTGTAAGCATGATTGCCGGTGATGACTGATTTCTGACTGCTGCCTTTCATGTCAAATAGTGGTCAATGTAGTAGGTGAATTATTATTTCTATCCTATTCATTAAATATATACTGACAGTAAGCACCCATATCCATATGCTAAATAGGGGTCAGTATATTTAGTTTTTCCTTTCTTGTCACTCAATAAAACCCTGCCCCAGGAACTTTCTCAATTACAGGGGCCTGCCTGAAGCAGTGGGAATTCTGTATACCATGTCTCTAGGAGTTTACCAGTGGTGTTTTGTTTTAGGCTAGGAAGCAGACAAGTATCTTTGTCAGTGAATAAATTCAGTTTGAGTTGTCACTATCATATGTTTTGCACAACCATTCAAAAGATTTAATGTTTCAAGGATCCTGAAGAAGTGATGTTTTAATTTTAAATGTTTCTTCCTACAAGTCAACAAGTTTTCCCTTACTTGAATCTGCGTGGGTAGGTGCTGTGCTACTGTGGTTTTTAAGGCACTTTTTTCCCTGATGTACAGCATGGAGAGATTCTTTAGCTGCAATACTTTGAAAATTTGAGAGATGTCAGAATATCTTGAGTAGGGCAACTGTATTTTTCTGTTTGGTGACCTGCTCCAGCATCCTGTTGCATCTCAGTATAGAATTTGTACTTTGCCTCTGGATTTCTTTGTCGAGGTCCACAGTGCAAAGGCTGAGACATTGAGGGGAGCTAGAGTTCAGAGTGCAACAGCACCTGGAAAATTCTTTATTTTACAGGCATTTGCCTGACTGATGTAACATGATTAGTTAAGGTCGGGACACTTAATTGTCAGTGAAATGGAGAGCAGTTTGTTTGTTACTTACATGTGAACTAGTCCAAGACCCTTCTGTCATCATACTGATTTCATTGCCAAGAACACACTTTATTTCTTGTGACTGTCCTGTGACATCCATCTTATGTTCTGAGAATGGCCGTAAGTCAGTTTGTCATGGGTCAGACCCTCAGCTTGCATAAATCTGAATAGTTCTGTTCAAGTTGCTGATACTCTAGAAATTTATATTCTAGAGCATATTTCATAATGTTAAGAAGTAGCATCAAAATCCAGTGTTCATTTTTTATCAGTTTATATTATTTTTGTACAATAAAAGGAAAATGGTGATGACCATATTAAATGTACTGAGTCTACCAGCTTACAAACAATTTATCTGCTTTATTAATCTGCTTGAAAATGTCTTGAAATGATACAAAAATTCTGTTTTCAATTGTTAACTGTTAAGAATTGTGGATCAATATGTACTTTTTTTTTAAAAGCAATGGGTGTTTCTTGTCTGGCTTGCCATTGCTTGGCTACCAAAAGAGTACATAGCTGCAGAGAGCACAGAGGAAGAATCAGGGAGGAGTCAGTCATTATGGAATTTGTTTTGGGTTAAGGTGTCTAGGCTGTCTCAGAGAATGGCACTGCATGAACTTTTCCTCAAAATGTGTACAGGAGAATTTTAATTTATTGAACTGCTTTTGCTTTGATGATGAGGATGTTTTAATCAACAGAAATTTTTCAAGTACTGTTTTGTTAGGTTTGCAACACACAGGCTGGAGAGAGCAAAGGCCCAGCTTATGGAAGCATTAACTGGATGGACTCTGTGACCCTGGTGCTCTGAAAGATATACAGAAGCAAGTGAAGGTATAAATACTCCATCAGAGCATCTGAATATCTCCTTTTATAATGAGAGAATGAATTGTTTGCTCATTAGAAGACATTTCTTCAGCATTCCCAAAGATGGATGTGTTTGTGAGGGACATTTTTAATACATCAGTCCAGCTCACCAGGGAGAGCTGGAACTTTCTCAACATGCATTTTTACAAATTCTTCCTCCACACTTCCAGTCCTCCCTATTGAGAAAACAAGAAAATACCACCAAGAAGATACCTTGCTTCCCCTCTGCTTCTTTAAACCTCACAGTTATTTGAAACCTCAAGTCTTCATAGGTTTTCCTTTGAATTCTCTCTGCAGGAAAGTGCATGGTTTTTACTTTCTTCATCTATTAATTGGCTGATGTAAGATTAGTTTAAAACAGCAACAACATCATGCAAAAGCCACTTCTTAAGGAAAAAGATATGACTGATTTTCACTTGGAAGTCAGTGTGGGGTTTTACCCTCACCTATCTCACAACAGTATCTGAGCTCGTAATCTTTGATGAAGATCTGAATTTAAGCTTAATCCAGAAGGGCTGTTGCAAACAGAACTCCCACTCATTTCAAAAGATGTTCCGTATATGAGGATCTGATGAGTTCAAGATCTTGGAGGGATTAACACTTTTGATTTAAGAAGTCTCATGTTTCAATATAGGAGTCAAAAAAATAGACACACACTACAGTATATGATTAATTTTTATTGGATATTTTTAAGGGTAGTGTCTGCTGAAGTAGAGGTTAAAACATGGTAAATAGTCCACACAATGAAAAAATCAGTAATCAGTGTTTCATTATGTTGCTAAGGCAGTGAAAAAATAACAGACACTGTAAAGATAAATAAGGAAGTCCTGATTTTCAAGGTTTGGGATTGTCTCGTGCAGATTCATCCCAATTCTATCTTCTTTGGTCCTTTTGAACCTCTAAGCCTGTACCATTTCCTGGAATTCTGTGAAAGATAAGAGAATATTTACATGAAAAAATATCAACATGAAAGGATTAGGAGTAAAGGATTGGTGGCTTATCAAGAGATTTAGAATAGGAATGAACAGAAAAAAGTTATCTGAAAGATGACCAGAGAAGAAACATGTGGAAAAGAGGCATCACCTAAACATCCTAAACAACATGTGGAAAGGCAGTGTGTTTTTCTGACTTACAGGAAAAAATGAAATATTCAGGGTTGTTTTGGCCTAATACTGATCTTAGGCAAAAATAATAGAATGTCTTATATGGAATTTAAGTAAGGAGTAGTTAAGAGCTCAAGTAAAAAAACTGAAAAGCTGTTTTTAAACATGTGTTTTATTAACTGTTTGTAATGCTTCAGGCATTGAGAAATGTTGATTTAGAGCACAGTCTAAAGCTAAAAAGACCATGCAGTTCCATGTGGTATGATTCTGGGGTGTTGAGTTGTGCAATAAGATACTGTTATTATAAAGATCTTTTGAATATTTGGCTTCCATGAATTAGAGTATCTGATCAGTCCCATCCCTGAGTGACTGTATTAATATACAGATTGCTTCATAAATCATGTGTGTTTATTCTGGCAGAGTTCCTAAGGAACTGGATTTAATTCCTTCCAAAGAAAGAAACAGAAGGGTTCTGTCCTGCTAGTGCAGTGAGCTGGGGAATCTGCTCGCCAGCACATTCCCTGCATGCTATTCCCTAAGCCCCTTTCATGCTCATCTAGGCAGCTCACTGCTCTCATGGGGCGAGTTGCCATTAGCTGCAGGCCTTTTGTGTGTGTGCTTTGTCTCCAAAACAGGGCACAGAATTATGGAATTAGGAGATCAGGAGGTTTCTGCACCAATGCAACCATTAAATCACACCAGTGTTTCCATGTGGTGAGTGTATGCTGCTTCCTTAAACAGCTGCTCCTTCCTATCTGGTCCTTAACCTGCCACTGAAGCAGGGATCCTGTTGTGGGATCTCATACTGGGGTACTGACACTTGATCGGACTTATATCCTTATCATGCAAAACAAAACTAGAACTATATGCTGCAGATTGAGAATGATTTTAGTGCCCAGTGGAATTTCTGTGGGGCAGTAGCTGCTGAAAACAAGCTGATGTATGACCTGGTTGTTCTTCTGTGTACAGATGGTTCTTTTGTCCTTGATTTTACATTTGTGTATTCCAAGTGATCCCAGTGCTGCCTTACATTAGAGTAAGTGGGAGGAGAAATAAGGGGCAGTTCCTTTCAGAACAGCTTGAAATATGGGAGTGAGTGGCAGTAGAAAAGTTCTTTAGGGTTTTTTTACTTGCTTATGCAAAAAGAGTTGCAGAGATGAACCTGTGAGATCATGGACCATTTCCACCCTTAAACGGGTTGCTACTCAAGAGTTTCAGTAAAATCACTGGAGGTACATTAATGTACCATCAACATAAAAGAGAATCCCACATCACTACAAACATCCTGAGGTGCTTCATTCTGTACTTAAAGTAGTCAATACCTTCAGCCCCGATTTTACCATCCCCATCATGATCTGCAGCTGCCAAGAAGGTCTTGGTTTCTGAGCTGGTTAACACTCTGGCTCCACATTCAAACCTCTGAAGGAAGTACCTTGGGAGGAAACAACTTAGATTTAGATTTTCACACCATAGTATTTTTATGGTTGTTGTATAATCAAATTGATAGCTATCTCTAAATAATTTACCACAATAGCCAAGTCCTTAAAATACTGCTTTGTTTGACAAGCCAAATCTTAATTTTATGTATTTCTGCTTTATAAGTGCAACCCTGAATGGATTGATTCTGTCCACTATGAAAATCCAGCCCTTGGGAGCTCTTTTTTTTCCTATACTGAGCATAAAAGGCAGATACTACTAATTTGCTTTTCTCTGTAAGGATTATTTAAATATACCTTTCACAATCTGCTGAAGGTTTTACCAACATTTAGCATAAATTGTGTTCACATTTACTGAAAGTTCTGGAATGGAAAAAGTGCTTATTTTTTTTATAGCCTCCAAGTAGTTAACAAAATCCTTACTTGAGCTCATCTTCCTCAATAAAGCCACTTTGATCATTGTCGAGAATCCGGAAGATCTCCTTGAGCTGGCTGCTACTCTTTTTAGACATCCCACTGATCTGAAAGAATTTTTTGGGACTAAAGGAATCTGGAGCTGAAAATAAATTAATAAAGAAATTAACCCCAGACCACTGTGTTCAGTGTTCCTAAATGGTCTGAGGATGATACTTTGTTACATTTTAATTGTTCTAAACATGATCAGTAGGTGAAGCCTGTCAAAGAATGAATGATTTTGCAATTCTGCCCCATACCCTCCTAAACATCCAACAAAATCATGTGGGGATTAGCTCCAAAACTGACAATATAAACCAGTTATGAACAAACATTCTGTGACAGCTGAGTGAAGAGATTACAGAAATCCATTTAAAGTATGCTTGTTCAATATTCCTTTGGGACTGAGTTAAACTTGCCATGGATTACACAAAATAAGAGATTTTGAGAGTTTTAATTGTTTTCTCACCTTGGCAGTCCCGCAGAGCAGCAGCGATGTCAGAAGGGCTTAGAATGTCTGTAAGGCTCATTTTAAACCTGTGCAAAATAGAATATTGCAAACAGAGTTTTGAAATGCAAGTGAATCTTACAACAAATTGGGCTTTTCTGTGTTTTGAAGATTACTAGAAGGTCAAGAAGAGTAGATGAATCTCATTGATCAAAGTGACATCTCTGCTATTCCTTAACAAATTACAAGATTTAATACATTACTTCCTTAAAAATAGCAGTGCAGAAATAATGCTTGTTAATGAGATGGAGTACATTAACCATATGGTGAGTTGATGATCAATATTTTGTCATTTACCTGCAATTTATAGAAATACAGCATATTTTTAAACTCTATGTAACTGTTAATCTAATAGTCTTACTGGAATGCACAGAATCTGGCAATACAAGTAACAATATATGCAGTTGGAAAAGGAAAATTAAGAAAGTTTACTTCTATTATCTCCCCCAGCAGCTCTGAAGAATAAAAAGAAAACTGATACTTATCTATGTAAAGTCCATCCATATGTAATTCCAGCAATTAAAGTAAAAACCTTAGAATAGTAGTTGTTGTACTTACTGGTGCAGCTCTGCACAGTAATTTCCTTTAATTAATCTCAAGTCAGCTGCTCACCTTTAGAGTTTTCTCAGCTAGGTAAAGGAAAAATAGCTGAGGAGATACCAGGCAAAATAATAATGTTGGCTCTAGCTTGCCACTCTGTCTTATAAAGGATTCAAAAGGTTACAATAACCACTACTTAGGTTACACTTCCATGGATCAAATGTTTGAATTGAGACCTGGCTCAAATTTCTTCCTTAACTAATTAAACTTTTCTTTCTATTTATATCCTAAGATAATATGGACAAAAAGAACAGTTTTGTTGTTGTTTTTTTTTTTTTTAATAAATCCACTAGTGCTTAATTAAGTACAATGTTGACATCAGAACAGCCTTTCGGTCTCCAAGTACTTTAACAGGTAACCTCTGCACCTGAAAGTCACTCTTCGGAAGACGACCCCAGCAGTCAAATCCTTGTGAAAAGAAATGAATTTGTTTTCCATGAGTCTGTTGATCCTTTGGAATGTAGGAAGGAAGTTGGAGATGACATCTCAGAGGTGACAATGTGTCATTCTGACAAGGATAACTTGTCATTAGGGTAGAGGAAAGCATTTTCTAATTTGGATGTTCTTTTTGCAGTGAGCTTCATTTTATATTTTCTTGACCGTTTTCTGAATTACAGAAACAGAAACCAGTGTCTTCAGTAACAGGAAACTATGAACTAGGTAAAGCTGAATAAATTGATTTTTTCATCAGTATTCCTTGGAAGATTATATATAATCAGTTGGCCTACTTAATAATCCATTTTGAATATTTTGAATTACGTTAGATCAATAATAGGCCTACTAGTTGTAGCAAGTTCTGTAGATGTAGGAATCAGACTTTGTTAGTATGGAAATAGCTTTATATATATTTTATAACACACTCTCACTATCTCTTTCATTAATAACTAAATTTTAATTGTAGGTATAAATAAATGAGGGTTTATTATATATTTCAGGAATATTACTTTTGGAACAAAAAAACCTTAAGAAAATTTGTAACAGCAGATTAGAGATTCTCCTAAGACAAAAATCTGTTTCCATCTTTAAAATTCTAGGATGGAGACCAATAAAACTCACATGTATTTTGGTTAGTATTTATTGTGTAGTAGTCAACTGTGGTATCTAAACTGATGTTCTCTTAATCCATGAACATTGTTTTATTTTTAAACAAATGGAAATAGCATATTATGCCAAAGAGGTAATATTTTTATAGTAGCAATGGTTACAAGTTGTACTGTGGAGCAGAGTAATAAATATATCTAAGCCTTGATGTAGATTAATGGACTACAGTGGGTTTACTCCTTCTTGGTTTAATGGAAGTGAGAAAAGTGTCAATCACAGCAAATGTTCCATAGCACTGTTTGAATTTGGATAGAGAAATGGAAGGTATAAGTAACACAAAAAGCAGACATCATTTAATGATACTTTTAACTTTCTTGCTACCTATTTTATATGTGAAGGAATAGGGCATAAATCACAAATATTCAGACTTACCTTTGGTCCCAAATACCAGCTGTCCAGGAACAAATAAGTGCTCCTTCTATTGCTTCCAGTAGGAAAATTTGTTATAGTGACCTGGAAGAACACTTCACTGGTAAACCAAAGAGTAAACCTAAGAACCCTGGGCTGTTGTGAATTGGTGTTTAAAACAAATTAAACAGTGCTGATTTGTACAAGCTTAAGGTGTGATCACAGATCTTTTGGTGTTCTTTCCATTTATCTTCTTCATTCAGCGCTATATATTCATGTTGCTTTCTGACTGAGGTTTCCATGATTCCTGTGCTTTCTCCAGAATCATCCTGTTAAAATCCTGATGAAATAACTTTCATTCTCTTAGATACCTTTTTACACTCGGTTGTATTTTCTGCTTTATGATCATCTCAAGTTGATATGAGTTTGAACAAGATGTTTCTAGAGAAAAGGATTTTTTTTCAGTCCTCTGTGACAGGGTCATAGATGTTCCTTTATAGGAGATTTCCTTTGTTTCTGCTGGCTCCTATACAGTGCTCATGGAAATACTCTCTTTGCCCAAGTGTTTGACTTGCCATACAACCCTAATTATTGACAGCTAATGAGAACAAGGGAATTGAAATGGAGGAAAATGACAGGATCAAGGTGAGCATATAATGCTCAAGTTCAAAAGATGTCTGCAAGTAATTTGGTCATTGTATTAAAACATAAGCACCAAGTGTTAAAAAAAAATGACATCTGGTTACCTCATGCACTCTGCCATGGCACAGAGTGCTGAGCTTGTTTTATGTGTATTCAACAGCTGTAAAATTGCCAGAATTAGTATTATATTAGAATATGATCTCAAATAAAAGTGAGATAATTGCTATGATTGCTTTTGAAGTGATCTTTTAGTGTTTGAAATTCAATGCTAGCAACAAAAGTGATGCTAATCCTGGCTGAAAGATGGTTTACAAAAGCCTAAAAGAGCTGAATTTCAGAATCAAGTTGATGTCACTGTACATTGATACAGGTGGGAATCTAGGGTTACTGGGTTTTATTTATTTATTAATGACACTTCATCTGAAGTACAGGTTTCCCTCCACTACAATTAGAATGCAATAATCAGGGGTTAGTATATTAAGGGATATATTAATGAGATAATCAATTTTAAATCTGAATTATCTGCCTGTTTTCCTTCTTTCTTGATTACGTGTTAACTTAGGTGGTTGCAATTACTTTATGCATTCAAAAATTGAGATCTCTGGAAGTGGTTTTTAAAAAGATGCTCTGCAAACAATGTAACACTATAAAGAAAATCCCCAATAATTCAACCAGAACAACAGCTGCTAAGTAATGGGCAATTAACAAAAGTGCAAAATCTGACCCAGAATCTTAGTATTGCAGTTTCCAGGAATATTTAGTACTTGTTCCTATGAAATTCAAGAAAAAATATTAATTTTTGTTTGGCTGATTTTGGGGGTATTTTTTTGCTCTATGAGAGACATCTGAAAGTTCTATTAGGTTGATCATCTGCATATTTATGTACTTGTGTACCTAGTATCATTTTCACCTGAGGTGTCTTTATTAAATAATATTAAAGCTATTTTTTTTCAGACTTACAGAATTAAACTTGAAGGTGTGATTCTAAGAAATACGGAATATTTCAATATATTGATAGGTTCTTGTTAGGAACCTAAACATATGAAACAGTTGTCTTCAAATCAAGTTCTATTTACTTCTCTAAATATCGGAGGAAAGTTGTGTTTTGATAAAACATTGACATGTTGTAGACTAGTCTTGTACCCTTTGTGTTCTGTTTGGCATAAACTACAGAGTTAATTAGCAGCGGCAATCAACCAAAGCCATGACTTCAGATGCAAAAGAAACATCAGCAGTTGTCTCAGGTGAGATCAGAGGAGAGGTGTTAACCTGAGACCAACTACAACAGTGTAAAGAGATGCTGCAGCAGCTGTTCTCAAACCCACACAACTCCATCTTTCAGCCCTGGTTGTGTCAGGGCCAATTGTATCATGATCCTGGATAACAGATTCTGCCTTTGTAATGAGTTTGGAAGTAACTAAAATAGATACTCAGTAACCTCTATGGCTGATAGTACTGTTGATGTCTCAGTGGTGACAGCAGAGAATATTAGTGTGTTCACAGCTATAATCATTGAAAAGGACCTTGACAACAAAATTAATTATATCCTGCCACTTCAAGTTGTCTCTTAGGGCAAATGCTTTAGTCATATAGAAATAAAGAAATAATTACAGCATTTAATTTGAATTGTTGCTTGGGCCTTAGTATTTTGCCATATCTAACAGAGAAGTCTGAGCACTTGCTGTAGTATTTGACTTTTTGCTATGATGAAGGAGGAAAGCCAGGGCCCAGTGACAAAGCTTTCTTTCCCTGCAGCAAGTAGAGGATGTTACCCAGAGCACTGAGCAGAGATCTCGACTAGAGAACCCAAAATACAAGACAGGTTCTGCAGCACTGTGGATCTGGAGCTAAAGGAAAACAGGTACTTCTCTAATGTTAGGGGAAATATCATGTGAACTTCCCTCAGTTCAAATTATGTTCTTATCATTCTGTGGGAATGAATTTTATTTCTATTTGAGAATGACAGCAGAATAGACTAACGTAGCTGAGTAATAGTGTCACTAATTCAGAGAGTTGGTCTGGTAAACATAGTTCTTCACTTAAAAAGCTGTCCTGGAAGATCTCTGACAACATTTGATATGTGTTTGTCTTTAAAAGCACTTGGAAGTTCTTCTGTGACTCAGTAATGCAATTTTCTGTCTCTAACCCTAAATGTAATTGTCTACTATGTTTCTGTCTGCTGTCAGCATCGTAGACAGTGTCAGATGGAGTGATCTTTAAAAATCTACATTGTTCAGGGTTTCTGTCTATTCTAGGAATAACTGTGCTCTAATGTTGGAGGCTGTGAAATAATCTGGATGCTGCCTATTGTGACATGTAAAAGATTGATAGTCCTACTGTACATTTTCCAAAGGCTCTTTGCACATCAAAAGTCTCTTGTTTAACAGAAATGGCCTAAAGAAAGAAGATTCAGACAAACTGTTAAAACACATGCACCAAGCATGTGACAAAATTCCACTGAAAAGAGGCAATCGCATATTTAGGGTTGCAGACCTCCAAATGTCTGATTCCAGCAGAATGTTGCTCACTCTCAGGGAGCTGTTTGGAAATGTACATTTATGATCAGGCAGCAGTATTTCTAGCTGAGGCACAATTTGAAAAGCTTTTTAAAATCCCATGGTAAGTAGTTACAGAAATTTCACAGTACCTGACATCCCATGTGAATGAGAGGCAGAGAGGAAAAGAAAGTGAGTGAGTATATTCCTGTGCAAAGAAAACCACATTTTCTCCTCTGATCTCCTTAGTGGTAATACTGGAAGAAGGAAAGGTCTAAAAACCTCTCTAGTCACAAGCTCTTCTTAACTTTCTGGAGTGATCACTGAAGCTGATACCAGACTTACCTTGTCATGAATTTTTTACTGTTCTTAATGGAATGGTAAGTGGTGAAATTGTCTTAGATTTGTAGGCCTAGCAGGCTAATCAGGGTGGAAGTAAGTGTGGTTAAATAAAGGAGCTGCCTGCTATCTCAGAAGTCATCTGAGCTGTCTGTGTCTTTCTCTCTTATTTAGCCATTGATGTTGGTACAATGCTTGAAAATGTCTGGGTGACCCATATTGCACAATGAAAACATAAAACATAATATCAACTGAGAAACAAAGCATTTTCTGACAATAATGAGAGCTTTTAGCCCTGCAGTCAGGCTGCAGTTATTAATTCTGAAAAATTTCTTTTTTTAATTGCTCTCCTAAAATGACATTGAAATAAAGAATGTCAATTTGCTTGATGGATAATTCTTTTTTCACTCTTATAGAAAATTCTACAATATTAGGACCTGATTCATTTATTGGAGTTAATGGAAATGTATTTTTGGCTAATGTATAGAGCATGAACACATTATTGAGTATTCATTAAAGTCTTGTAGATTGCTTGAACTTTGTTTGATATGATGATTTCCCCAATATTGTACTGACATTTCCTTCTTTCTCCATAATATCTCATCATAAATATGTTGTGCATCAGCACCACAACAACATCAGCAGGAAATTATGAAATTAAGATTTTTTAATGTTCAAATATTGAAACGTCTTCTTAAATAGGTCCCAAAAAATGCAGTATGAGATGGTCATACCGGTTTTTGCAAGATTATTGTCCAAGAACAGACTTTTCAAGAGCTCACATTTTTCTTTTGAAAGAGTATTTAGGAGCAACTGTAATGTTGGAAGTGTAATGTTTGGGATGGTTAAAGCCATCTAGATTTTTAAAAAGGCTGTTTGGCTGTGTGTTTATTTTGGTCACGTATCTAAGACAAAACCCCAATACACTGCAGTGTTCATTAGGTACTATTAGCAATGAGTTCATTTCTATAGCTCAGTTTGATTGCTGTGTGTGTTTATACTATGACAAAATTGTGATGAAATCATCACACTCATGTTTTTCAACCAGAACCCTAACCTAATGCACAAAATGAACTTCAATTAATGAACAAATACTCAGAATTCTGCATTCTCCCCATTCCTTATGTCTGTCTTGCTATTTCAATATGGTAAAGTAAAAAAGATTAATTTCTTAACAATTTTTTTATGACACTCTTAATTTTATTATACTTTCCTCACAAACATTGATGCATTTTACAGCTCTGTGATATGTGGGCATTATGTTATTCTCAGTGCTGAGAATGTTGATTATTTGGGCACCATTTCCCCATTTGCTTTTATGGAGCACTAGGGACTTGTTTCTTTGAAGTGCTTTTTGCAGAAGTGGCAGATGGGACACGAGGAGTGTTTTGGAATTCATTTGAGCACAAAGAACATTGTTTCATCTTCTCAGCAGTGGAACAATAGTGCCATCGGGTGGGCATAAAGGTGAGGGATTCCTTGGGGAATTTTGAATGTATTGCTATTTCAGTAATCTAAATTCATCCTGGATCCAGCTCATCTTAAAATGACAACTTAATTAGTGCAAAGTCCTACAATATACTTAGTCTCTGAAACACAGTCACTTGCATAAAGAATGACAGAAAAACATATGGAATATTAAAATACCTCCTGATTAAATACCACTGCTACCAGTTACCATAAACAGGTATTTTACACCCGGACATTTTATTAATTCTGGTGTTTTTACAACATATACTAGCTATTTATACAAATATTGAAAATTCAATGGCCCACAGAGATGCTTTCAATTTCTCCTCTTAATATTTGTGTTTGTATCTTTAATGCCCTAAATTCAGATGTGAAGAGTGGATTCCAGTTCAGTCCCTCAGTGGCATAGACTTTCTGATTAAAACACTTGGCAGCCTGGCTTAAGTAGTGCTTCTACCACTTCAGATGTTTTCCAGCAATATGAAGCCACTTCCCAACAATTGTTCATGACCTTTCAGGATACAAAAGGTGTAAATAAATGGTAGCTTTGCAATAGGAAAGGTGTTTATGGCACATATATCTTGGTCTTTATCTTGACTGCTGTTTATGATTTGACAAGTGCTTGAAACTCTGAAAAAGAAGAAAAAAGAATAATGAAGTGTGACCTCTGTAATCACACAGTCAAAAACTTATAATTTTTTGAGTTAAAGTGGGAAACTAATGCTACTTCCTCTAATAATCATTCCTTAAAGGCAGCACATTTTGTATTCATAACAATAGATACTTAAGGCAAAGGGAGTGTTGCATTTAAGTGTCATATTTTATCACAGTTCATTAGCAAAAAGCAGTGAAATTATAGACTGAATTTATATTCCAGTCCTGAAAAAATCTCCACAGATGAGAAAAGAGACTGACCACTTTATCCAGGGGCAGAATTGGGACCAGTTCCTATGTTAGATCCTCTCTATAACACAGCAAATCTGAGCATCTCAGCATCAGATCCATAATATCCAGTACATGGAGCAGGGCAGCTGCCTAGTGCTACCTTTAGGGAGTCTCCAAGGCAGGTATTATCATTTTAATAAGAGCAGTCTTACCATCCACTCCAATTTTACCATCTCCATCACTGTCCCCTGCTGCCAGGAACGCCTTGGTCTCAGCATCAGTCAAAGCTCTGGCACTGGCTGAGAAGTTCTTCAGGAAAAGTCTGGTAAAGGTGAGAGAGCAAATGAGCAAGACCCTGTTCAGGGTTTGGATTAGTAATAGCTGTAAAATTTCAAGCATGATTCAGTTCTTGAGAACTATTTCAATGGCAAAACTTCCTCTAACTTCATTAAGAGTGAGGGTAAGGAAGTAAGAGGATGATTACTTCAGAGCCTATAAAAATCCTTGATGACATCTTGGTTTCCATTGGATTAAAAAGGCAGAATTAACACTGACTGTACAGGCAGGACTCATCTTCCCTCCCTTGTTATCTTCCTTCTTTCTCATAAGATGCAAAGTCTCAGCAGCAATAATTTCTCTAACCTTACTTCTCTAATCTTAACTTCAAAGTCAGATGACTATGATCTGGAAGGTAGAATTCATGTGACATGAAGAAAGATGAGAGAAAAATGGCCCTTTGAATTCAGTCTGGTAAAAAAATCTTAATAAAAAGCAGCTATAGCAGAACTGCTATTTTTATCTTCACAGTCTGTCAGTTATTGCTACATGAAACAAGTATTTCCAGTGCTGTCAGAGAGTTTCCCCATTGTAATCCAGCCTTGCCTTTGTTATTTGACTTGCAGCTCCTCCAGCACCAGCACTCACACACAGGTACACAAACACAAGATTGTCTCCTATCCAAAGGGACAGGAGGAAATGGAATATTTCTGATCTTATCATGCATTTTTACATGATAAAACACAACCCTGCTGGTAACTTTTTTATTTACTTACTTCAGTTCCTCTTCCTCAATAAAGCCACTCCTGTCCTGGTCAAGAATTCCAAAGACTTTGGCAACTTGGTCTTTGGACTTGGAGTTGAGACCCACTTTGACAAAAAAGGTTTTGTAATCAAATGAATCAGCAGCTGAAATAAGCAGATGGAAACAAGGAAAGATGAAGAAAAGTAGTCAGAAATGTGGAACAGTCAGAAATCTGGATCTATAGAACCTGATGATAAATATTGTGCTTGTATTGAAATCAGAAGTAGTTTTATTCTCTGAAAAAACCAGGATTTCTGATGTAGGACTCAGTTTTTGGATTTTTTCATAATTAAAATTGCTGCAATGCACAAATGATGATGGGTACCTGGAGCTTGGTTGGCCAAGATTAAAACTTGCATCTGTTCCATTACCTTGTATTCTTTTTCTGTTTTTAGTAAGAGAGCGTTTTCTGTTTCCATTGGAATTGAGCCTTTGGGGTAGCAAGGACAAAGGAAGCTGATAGATAAATTGCAAAGCCAAATTTAAAACATAAATATTACCTTGACAGCTCTGTAGACCAGCAGCAATTTCAGCTTCTGTCAGGATACTGGAAAGAGCCATGTCGATAGTACTGCAAATGAAAAATACTGTTGGGTGGGGTTGCCACTGCTCTTGCTCTCTCAGCTGTGGAGGTGCCCCGAGGTGAGCCCAGGTCCCAGGGCAGAGCAGGCGAGCTCACTGCAGGAGCCAACTGCTCCATCCTTCAGTTCAGATACACATTGTGCATCTGAGTCACTGGTATTTCCAGTTAAGTCTTCAGATGTACAAGCTGAGGACAAAGCCAAAGGTATTTATAGAACTGCCCAGCATTTGGGCATCTTTGGTTATTTCCATGCATTTTTTGTCTGAGTTATTGTGATGTCTTCTAAAGTTCCAGAGGGAAGATTGAACTCACCTGGCCACTTAGTTTTCCCCAAGCCAAGAACAGAAAATATTGTCAGATAAAAGATCCGTAGAGTCCTCTTGACTTAACTCTTTTCAAAATGAAATAGAGAAGGACTTATATAGACCTTAGTTAAGTCCTCTTGACCTTTTACAGAAGTCCTAGAGCCACGTGATGGCTCAGATACCCCAGGGGATAAGTTACTGTGGCTGACAAGACCTGCTAGCTAATCAGATTGATATTTATATCCCAAAGGAATGTGCATGGTATTTTGGACAATATGTAGGGTTTAGTGCCATACAAAGCAAATCCTCTCAGTTTGCACCTATTTTAGTGAATTTTTTTTGTGTGTGTGTATAAATTAAAAAATACATGTATTTTTAATTGCTTTATGGTAACAAGAAATGGACATCTTCATAGCTGACTTTATCTTTTAAGGGCCCAATTCAGGTATGAATTACCCATGAAACACTACTCCTGCAGTTACCCTAGTAGTCTTCAAAACATACTAATACTGATACATTTGTAATAGATATATCTGATATACAAGTACAAGCTCAAAGACAAAACTTCAGCCCAAATTACTTTTAATAAGTTGTTATATAAGCTTTGGTTAGCTATAAAAGTCTAGACAGCATTAACTCAGCAGTAATTAATTGCAGGGTGCACATTTTAAAATGTGTCCATTTGCAGAATGAAGGTTGTCAGCTGCTCAGCAGGACACAGGAGAGTGGATCAGTTGTGGCCAGGAGGGAAACAGAGCAGTGAAATCAGTGATATTTGGTTCTTCCTTGCTGTGCTGAAAAAATAAACTTCTGTAAGGTCTTAAACAGCAGCTAAGCTCAAACTGCAGCTTTTCTCTTACTGGATATTAATAGGAACCCCCAGTCAGTTATCTCATGAAATTTATTGGAACTTAATGGCCTTGAGAATAGTTGAAATTGGCCAGTGGTGTAAAAAAACATTGGGAGAACATTTCACACTGGCACATAAACAAACATGGCTGGACTATTGCTTAGATTTAAATAACATTTGAGTGACGAGAACATTTAAAATAAAGCCTATCCTCTAATCACTATAGCATGAGGCTGCTGTCTTTCAAAAATTATGTACATGAAAATACAGAGAAAACCTCATCTATCTCAGTTCCCCTTGATTTCTTCCAGAGAAGAATTTTTAAAATAACCACTGACTATGTTATTCTAAAGCCATGCTGTGTGGTAAATTGAAAATCGTGAAAACTAACTTTTCTGGATGATATAAGATCAACTGAACAAGTCACTTCTAAAGGCATTTTATCCCAAACAGGTGGAAATCTAAATTAAATTATTCAGCTTTGCCGCTGGGAATCTAACTGTGCCTTTGGCTCAGGTACCTAGGAAATAATTAAGAATATGGCCTGGGATCAGAGACAATCTGCTAATTGTATGGAAATTATTGAGCATTCAAGAGGTAATCATTTCGGGGAGCCCACACTGAGATTACGAAGCATTTATAGCGAAGAGTTTTGGAGTTTATTTCTGTGGCAAACCACCACTTGCCCGAAGGTGGCACCAAAGACAGGCAAGTCCAGCCGTGACAGGGCTGCAAGACTGGGAAAATCGAGGACCAGGATGAGAACAAGATAACAGGAGGGTGTTCATCAGAGGAGGAGAGAGGAAGGAACAGCTATTTAAAAGAAAAAAAGTGTAGCCCAGCAAATCACTTGAAAGAACAGGAATATAAACAGAGAAAAATCTGAGATAATTCCTGAGGACTTTCCTTTCATGATAATTTAGAATAACAGGCTACTCACTCTAACCTAACTGGGGTTTACTGTGTTTATTTTTATGTTGGCTAAATTTTACAGTCCATTATGGAGATCGTTGCAAATATAAAATCAATTTGTTCTGGAAGCCTTGGAGTTAAAGCAGGAAGTCAGTGTCTAGAAAATAGAGCAGATCAATATGTCATTGTGGTAGAACTGGTGTGATTCTCTTTGAGTCGAACTATTTGCATATTCTGCTTGGACAGAAGTTCCCCTTTGAATTTAGGGTCAATAAAAGGAAAAGCAGGGAAAGGCATTGTATAAGGGTACCTTCTTTTTTCTATTGTAACTGGACTGGTGATCTATTTTTCTCTTCTGAATCTTGATATACAAAACTGATTTTCTTGTTTTCATGAGTGTAGGACATGCTGACAAACAAATCAAAAGTTCTGGAGCTGCCATATTTCAGCTGCTGAAGTGCTCTGTAGGTCTTCGGTGCAGAAAGTGTACCAGAAAGTCCAGACCAATATAATGGTATCTTTCTGTGCTTACAGTCTGTAGTGGTTTAGATTCACCAATTTGAGTTTCCCAGCCACTTCTCTCTTTCAGCAATGTCCAGGGCCAATTGAACAGGTTTGAGTTCAGCAAGTTCAATCAAAACTAATGTGGGAATTAGGTTTTGTAAAATGTGAACACTTTAGTTCATACTTCACAGTATCCTCTTATTAAAATGTTTTAAAATACTTGAAAAATTGAGCATAAAAATGCTGGGTATGTGTCTATTCAGGGATTTAATCAAGATGTATCTATTTCAGTTACCCATTCCAGGAACTTAATCCTGCCTTGGCCCCCTCTGCCCACACTGTTTGTGTGAAGAGCTCCAGGCGCCTCTGATGATGCTGCATCAAAGATTTTCCACATGGGCTGGCTGCTAACTCAAAGAAGAAACTGTACCAGTCTATGTGTGCAATGAATGTTCTGACATCCCCTTGCCCTTTATGTGCTCTCTACTTGTTAGAAGATGATGGAGATTTCAAATAGTTGGAGAGCTGAAATTGAATCTCAAGTTTACAAATGGCTTTTGGATTGGGATTTCCAAAGCAACATGAAGTTAAGGGGCAGCCAGCTTTGACTAAATACCAGGAGGTTTTATCTCATGCATGGTTCTGCTCCTCTTTCAGGGCAACCTAAAATTTTGGTTTAAGAGAGACAGTGAATTCAGTGACTAGAGCACTGGGGTGGGTTTGGGATCATGAACCTGGCCCTCTGTATCCTTTTTCTAGATGCTTGTGTAGGACAATGGATTTCTTTGTGTTTTGTTCCTGCTTAAAGGGATCATAGTACATCTTTATGTCATAAGAATATAGGGAGCATTAGAGATTAAACTGCTCACACAGGGTGATCAAGGGACTGAGGTGCCTGAGAACTCACAGTCTTTGGGCCTAATGGAACTCAGATCTACCACTCACAATTTGGGTTGCTCTTTAATTGTCTTAAGTGAAGGTAAAACACACAAACTGCATCTCCTTTATGCTGGGAATTATGAAGCAGTCTTATACTGAGTATTATTATAGTGAATAGGATTGTCTTACTCTAAACCTGAGAGTAGGTGATCAGTGTGAAAATACCAGGGGTTGTTAGATTCTTTCTGATTTGATGTAGCATAAACAATTTCTAACAGAATGTTCTCAGCAGTGTTTTATTTGTTTAATTCATTCATAACAGCTTGATGCAGAGGATTTAATCCTTATTTATCAGATGCCCAGGGAGGTTACAGAACCTCTATCCTAAAGATACTCAAACTCATCTTAGAGCAATGTGGCCTTCTGTAGGAGTGATTGAACCAGAGACCTCCAGAGAACCTTTCCATCGGGAATTACTGTCTGCTTCTGTACCTTAATTATGGTAACATTGTGATACCAGCCACGTGTCTCTTTGATGCTTCAGTTGGTATTCATATAGACATCCTGCAACTGAAGTTTTTCTTTAGCATGATGGCATTGTCAAGTTCAGAGAACACTCCATGATACTTCCTAAAAAATTGAAAGCTGCCATTGACTTAAGTTAATTAAAATGAACCTTGCCAGAAAATATCACATTTTTTGAATTTGTTTCTTTTAGTTGAAAAACACTCTTTTCTAGTTTGGTTAAAATGTGGATCTAAAATGTGGGTTGTAATGCCAACAGAAACCTTAATAGAGAGTAGGTGGTGTTTTTTTCTGAAACCTATGAGCTTTTGCTTTTTTAATTGGGGACTTCTTGGAGTTTTATTATAATTCCTTCGAATGACATGGCTGAATGATTTTAATAAGATTTAAAACACATTTTCTTGCCACTATTTAAGAAGAACAGATTTTCTTATAAGCATAAGTAAAGTTCCTGCACACACAAGGATTTCCTGATTCTTGGGAGTGCTTCATCCCCCTGTGGCAGCATAAGGCAGTAATGTGCAGTTGTTCAGCATCTCTGAAATGCAGGATGGGCCATCATGCAGTCTTGCATTTCTTGCATTCCACATGAGACTCTCAGAGGTGCAAGGAATGTGGTGTCAGGTCTGTCACTTCTGGTACTGTATGTGCCATCTGCTCATGAGCCAGTGATCAGCAGTGTGAACAGCTAACGCATATATCACATCTGGATATTGCTGCAGATCCAGGTTGCCCCTGGATCTGTTTTTTTTCTTCAGCAGGGAAATAATTAAGGTAAAAGAAACCAACAGAATCTCATCATTATGCAAAATATTTCAGTGCTGCAATTAACAGCAGCTATAATTTAAAACCAGATTTAACATCAAAGGCAGTTGGGATAGAATTAGGATTTATAATCATTATAATTCTGCCAAGGCTTCAGTGAGTCTGATTGCTAGAATTCCTCTTTTGCATTAGCCATTTTAAACCTGTCGACCGGCTCTCTTACGTGCCTGGGAATGAGGGAACTGTGCTTGCCTCACATAATCATCTCACAATTCATGGAAATGCCAGCACTGGATGCTACATAAAAGTTCCAGAAGGCTTTGTTTCTGCTCTTCTTCAAAACAGCTGCCAAATCATAATTATTATTCAGTTTCAGTGAAGAGTATTAAAATGACAGTCCGCTGGTGAGTTGGAGCCACACAGCATGGGACATGGGGAAGGAAACAGCTAAACTGGGGTGGGGAAATTCCTGACATGCTCAGCCAGGGATGCACAACCTCTCCCAGCCTGCTGACATCTGCATTTAGCCATGAATTGTCCATTAATGAAGACAATGCTATAACAAATTCAAAATCCTGTGAGACATTTACCAAAGAAAGACTAGTTCTTAGTTTTCAGACTGAGGAAAACGCCTGGTATTATGGAACATATAGATAATAATTCATGTAAAAAGTGAAATAATTGCATAATGGCCATTATTTAATGATGTAAGAGCTATAGGGAAATCAAGCAGCAAGATTGGCTGTAGTTTCATCTGTAGAAATTCACAGATGTGGCAAATATTATTGTTTTGTACATGTTAAGAGACAATAAGCAACAGGCTCATGATTCATGGAAAAACCACCAGGCCTGTGGCCCAGGTTGTCAGCGGACCATGACTTGTGACAGTGTCAGAGTAGGATTAGACCCTTCTCCTCTATCTCACAGCTGCCTTAGATTTCATGAAATATAAATCTTCTTAAGGGAGAGTCACATTTTAGGCCATAAACACTTTCTGATGATACGATTACGCTGTAACCTACTATATTTTGTAAAATTACCCACAAACTTATTCTGTGCTTTGAACTACGTGTGAACTTCTCTTAAATGTCTTAATTTTTTCTCATATTCACAGGGTTGGGACTTAATAAGAATTATTTTCAGCTATCTTTTCAGCATTGTTTTTCTCAAGTATCAGAGAATTAATCAGAAATAAACCTCAATTAAATCTGTACGATTAAGCCTGAGAAGATATCACATGGTTTAAGGTCATCAGAACTGTGTCTGGCGAGTCAGTATGCTCAAATATGAGGATGGAGAACCTAAACAAAATTTTTAAAAGCAGCTTTTTCCCCAAAGGGTCTTTCTGTTTAGTTAATTTTTTTAATTGTTTTCTCCCCTCTCTCAGCCACAATTTTAACATTATCAGTGGTGGAATATTGCAAAGTGCCTTCTTTACAATGGAAATGTAACAATGCCATGTGACCAAAAGATTGCAAGATTTCTCAGCAATCAGGTGTGTGAACTTCATGTGTGGGGAACAGTTAATGCCTGAAACAATATAAAAATGTACAAACACATGCTGAGTGCGAAGTGCTTGCTGGACGAGGTAATTGGCAGAGTCAGTCCAAGGTTGCCTTTGGTCTAGTGCTGTTTATGCCTTCACTAGAGACTGGAATTCTGTCAAGGAAGAAAGTGAGAAAAGCAGGGATTAAAATTTGTTGAAAGTAGTTTTTTTGACATCTTTAAAAAGATATATAAAAATGACTAAAACTCCTAGGCATGGAGGGCTCCCAAAGTTATTATAACACTGCACAAGCTACTGCTAAACTGAGATTCTGGGGGCGTAACAGATTTTTCACTCCTTAAAAAGAGTAAGTGCAGAGAGGAGGAGTATGTCTGTAAATTTGTATTCGTGGGAAATCCTGGCTTAAAGGTAAACTATATTTACCCCATTACAAACTGATAATAGCCAAGGAAAAAGAGCCTGTAGCTCTCAGTGAGAGGAGTTTTTTTGAGTTTTATTATTCCAAATAAAAAATATCCAGAGTGAAGTAATTCCAGAGTGGGAGATTCAGTGGTTAAGGACCAAGATCTGCATAATATAAGGCCCTATCTGAGGCTCATAAACAGAAGCTGCAAAAGCTGCTGCTAAAGCAAATTCCTCCAACAGTATATCTCTCTCTCCCAAATCTGGCTAAGATTAGCACGTGTGTCTGTTGGAGTTATTGCCACCTGTCCTAGTTCAGCTGAGACAGCCCTGTTTTCAGTGACTTCATCTCTAATACATGATGCATAATGTCCTATTTTTCTGTGCTGCAGCTTCTAAAAGAAATATCCTGGCTAGTTCACATCATCCCTGTGAGGTTTTCTTCAGGAATTTGATTGAGTTTCTCAAAGGATTGCCCAGTGAAATGTGCACTTACCAGATAATTTCCCAGAACAAAATCCTGTGCTGCACTGCTGCAGTTGCAGCCTTGAGAAACAATACCAGTCATATTTTACATTAGTGAATTAAGCACCCAGTAATAGTGGCCAATGTTTGATAGTGGAAGATGAAGAAATAAGTTTCTTTAGGTAGAGATGTGTTTAAAAATGGAAGTGTTCTATGGCCAGAAGTGCATAGCATCCACTGCTGAAATGGAAATTCAGAGAAATTCAGGTGTTCTGAATGTTTTAAAAATCTGGCACATTGAGTCTATGGATTAGACATACAGCAGGATTAACCCCAAAGCTGTTATCATTGATTGGAAGATAAGACTCTACACTGGGCCTAAATATTGTGTTGCTGTAACAGAGACAAAATGTGAATAAAGCTATGAAAATAAAGGAGTATCTGCTCATATAAAAATTGTGGCAGAAAGTATCAGGCCAAAGTATTCATGTGTATTCTTCATGCCCCAATTTAAATGCAGCCCAAAATGTGTGCATTTTAAACCACAAATTTTATCAATTTTCAGAAGTCTTACCTTCCACTCCAATTTTGCCATCACCGTCAGTATCTCCTGCAGCCAGAAAAGCCTTGGTCTCCACCGAGGTGAGGGCTCTGGCATCTGAAGAGAAATTCTTCAGGAACATCCTGAAATGGAACATGTGCTTGAGTTTTGCTCTCTGAAATATCCCATAAGGTAATGTCTGCTCTTATTATTTGAGGGAATCCACACAGATTCAAGGAAAGACAAGGATTTGTGTTTTATTTTAAAAATAACATCAAGGGTTTCTTCAAGGACACCAAGCAAGTTCAAAGGTTTTTGTTGTTTAAGGAAATAGAGCAGCTGAACAGTACTTACTGCAGCTCATCCTCTTCAATGAAACCACTCTTGTCCCGATCAAGGATTGCAAAAACTTTCCTTATTTGATCAGTACTTTTGCTGGATAAACCAACCATGGAGAAGAAAGACTTGTAGTTGAAGGAATCATCAGCTGGAAGAAACAGAAGTTGTTTAATATTCTCCCTTGAAGTCACTACTACTGTGTGTATTCCTTGTGAATATGTATGTCTTTTCTTAAGCATCAGCCAGCTTCTCTTTCTCTTGTTCCCTGGTGTAGGAAAAGAGCAGATACAGTGGATAATGATTTCGCTTTTTAATCACTCTGTGCCTGTGGTCATATTTCCTTTCAGCCAGTTTGAAGTTTTCCGCTACAATGCACATTCTGTTAAATCAGGATTTATGCAATGTGTCATATGCAATTAATAATAAATATTGAGAGGGTGCTACTGTGACTTACAAACAGCTCCTGTAATTATTAATTCATTTTCATGGAGTCCTTTCTTATGTGGATAATTTGATAGAAGAGTAAGTAATTCACAGGCAAAACGGATCTTTGAGTATCTGGAAAATTTGCTTGATCTTACTGAGCAGCTCATAAGAGAAGTGAGACTGATCATTGCTTCACAAATGACACTCTCATTCTGCAAGCTGAGGCTTTTTCTGAAATTTTGAAGGATAAGGCTAACTTTAAATTTAAGTCTTTAACAGGTTTAGACACAGACAGCTTAGTGTTAAGCCAGCCCTAACTGAGACTGTGGCCCTTTAATTGCTGCTCACCACTTGTGAGACCTTTTGAATTTAAGGGGCTATATTGTAATGTAGCTTAGAAAAAGATCTCACAGGGAAGGAATCTAAGGGGAAAATGATAGGCATGTCATCTTAAGACATAAAAATGGTATTCATCTTCTGTCTGCAGAGTACCCATTCCTTACCCTGGCAGCTGGAGAGAGCAGATTCAATATCCTTAGCAGAGAGGATGTCAGTGATGGCCATTGTTGAACTGGAAAATAAATTAAATGTGAGCTACTTAGTCATTAAAATTACTTCTCTCCTACTTTCACGGCTCTATTTGAAGTTGCTGCAGTGACAGTGTGTGATAGGGGAAACATTATTCATCTGATGGCAAGTGGAGCATGCTGTAACAGATGTCTGCAGCAGGTGCTTCCACTGAAAGCTGGGAATGAGGCAGGAATTCTGTACGCGGGAGCGTGGGGCTTCAGGAAGATCTGATGCCTCTGCTGTGCTGGGAGAGCAAATCCAAGGTGTCCAGCACCACATAACTTCATGACTTTATGTGTGGGTTTTCCTAGAGGTGGATAATTACTTGGTAAAACCTGGAGTGTATTTACAGCATGCCTAAGAGATAAGGCTGGTATATCCCCTAGAACTATATCTGGAATAAGTGTAATTGGAAAGTGAAAAATCTAGTACTATTATCAATAGATGTAGTGACCTCCACAAAGAATGATAATATTAGTGTAGAATTAGTAATAGTAATTTTACTCATGTAAATTTGGAGGGAAGTTCCTCCCATTTAGTTGAAACAATAAATGCATCTTGCTGGGCTACTGCATTGCTGAAAGACTATGTTTCATGAGAGCTTTGTAAAAAAGTTTTTGTCAGTATTTTCTGAGGTTCCTTTCTTTTGCATTCCATACAGGTTACAACAAACCATATTTTTGCCCAGATTTTGGCATTTTAGTAGATTGTTTTCTTTAGAACAGAAGTATCATGACTTAGTACTCAGTAGAGTGGAGGAGGTGTTTTCTGACACAGCAGCATTTCATTTGAGAAAAATACTTTGTCCCATTCAGCCACCAACAGCTGCAATAGTTTGCCAGTGCAATGTGTATCACTTTACAAAATGCTATAATGCCTGAATTTCTAATAGATTTTTAGTGCACTGATGCATTTACAGTTTGGTAAACTGCACACACCAGTGCAGACGTTACAGTTTAAAACTTGCAACATTACTCTTAATTCGTGTTGGTGAAAGAAGGGGAATAAGGCATAGAAAAATTATTCTTGAAAGCCACAAGAGAGTAGAAATATCTTTTCATTAATCCCTAACTGGTCTTCAGCAACATCATTCTTCCTGTCTAACCACGGACTGAGAAGGAATCAACTGGTGGTACCCATTTGTAGTCTGTGCACTGGTTTGAGATCTAAACACAGGTTAAAATTTCCTCTTAAATATGAAATGGCTGCCTCTGTACCTGTTGGTTTGCAGCAGAAGAAATTTTCAATCATTTTAGTCCCTTTCTGAATATCTCAGAAACGCTTAAGAAAGTGATGGCACACATTCCCACTGATGGCAATGGATCCTTCCTCGGCTCAGGCTGCTGGGTTACTTTTCTTTTACTAGCAATTATTTTGTCTCAGTGGGTTCTTGTGCAAAACACTTCCCCCTCTCAGCATTAGGCAATATAACTTTGAGCTCAGCTGTTCACCTAATTCTCATTGCCGACAGGATTAAAAAGGGGAAGAGTTGAAGGAAAACCTAAAAATTACAGCATTTTTTACAAGGGGCATCGTTCCTGTCTTGTTCCATCCTATGATCCAAATGCTGATTCTATTTTATGTTAGCTTGCAAAGATACAACATACTGGAATAGAGGTAAGAATAGACACTTCATTTGCTTTCTGTTTAGGGAGCATTTTGGCTTTGTGTTTCTTTGAAAGCAGAAGATCTGATCAGCTTACCTTTGTGGTCTTCTTGACTGGATAAGGAAGCAATCAGGTTGGGAGGAAGGTATTTGCTGTGTGTCTCCAGCAGAGCTGAGCTTGCATATATATATACTTTAAGTTGTATACCATATACAGATTTTAGATTTCAGCGTCACGAAGGGGGAATGGTGTCAAATGAACTTGCCTAACTAATCATCTTGCACTATTTTTATCTCGAGAGAATACATATGATATTTGCAAACGAAACAAGATAAGTGGCCAGATAGGCAAAAAGAACAGTCATGTCAAATTTCCTCTGATTTAAGCAGAAAACACCAGCTTCTCCATGTGATGCATGGCAAGACAAAAACCCCCACTATGTGATATGCTTGATCTGAGGAGTCAGATGCAATGAAGCACAATAACTTCTGAAGAGGTGTCTTTAATGACTGTTTAAACGTGATAACTTGTTATCTTATCTGTAGACTCTCTGTGTGATAGAATTTCATCATTGTTGCACTAAACAAAAAGAAAAAATAAAAAGTATTCTTTTCAGGTATTGTTTGCATAGCAAACCAATCTAGGGAAATAATAGCCATGTTGTCTCCAGAACGTCTGATCTGTTGTTGTTTGGAAAAAAAATACCACGCAGTGAATTTTTTGCTATAGAAGGTAAAATAATATTATGTCAATCCATCAGAACAGTTGGCTGGGGGAGGGTATTTCA